ATCCCTGATGAATATCGATTCAAAAATCCTCAACAAAATACTGGCAAACTGAATCCAGCAGCACATCAAAAAGCTTATCCGCCACGATCAAGTTGGCTTCATCCCCAGGATGCAAGGCTGGTTCAACATACGTGAATCAATAAATGTAATTAGTCACAGAAACAGAACTAAAGACAAAAACCACATGATTATCTCAATAGACACAGAAAAGGCCTTCGATAAAATTCAACATCCCTTCATGTTAAAAATTCTCAATAAACTAGGTATTGAAGGAACATATTTTGAGTTCCTTAAAAATAGTAAGAGCCGTATATCACAAACCCACAGCAAATATCATACTGAATGGGCAAAAGCTGGAAGCATTCCCCCTTGAAAATTGGTACAAGACAAGGATGCCTTCCCTCACCACTCGTTATTCAACATAGTATTGGAATTTCTGGCCAGGGCAATCAGGCAAGAGAAAGAAACAAAGAGCATTTAGATAGGAAGAGAGGAAGTCGAATTGTCTTTTTTGCAGATGACATGATCTTATATCTAGAAAACCCTATCATCGCAACCCAATAGCTTCTAAAGCTTATAAGCAACTATAGCAAAGTCTCAGGATACAAAATCAATGTGCAGAAATCACAGGCATTCCTTTACACCAACAACAGGCAAGCAGAGAGCCAAATCATGAATGAACTCCATTTACAATTGCCACGAAGAAATAAAATACCTAGGAATACAGCTAGCAAAGGAAGTGGGGGAACTCTTCAAGGAGAACTACAACCACTGCTCAAGAAAATCAGAGGACCAAAGAAGATGGAAAAGCATTCGATGTTCATGGATAGGAAGAATCAATATTGTCAAAATGACTATACTGCCCAAGCAACTTATAAATTCAATGCTATTCTCATTAAACCACCATTGACATTCTTCACAGAATTAGAAAAAAAGTATTTTAAAATTCATAAAGAACCAAAAAAGAGTTCATATAGCCAAGATAATCCTAAGCAAAAAGAACAAAGCCAGAGGCATCACGCTATCTGACTTCAAACCGTACTACAAGGCTGCAGTAACCAAAACAGCATGGTATTAGTACAAAAACAGGCATGTAGACCAATGGAACAGAATAGAGAACTCAGAAATAAAACTGTGCATCTACAACTATCTCATCTTCAACAAAGTTGACCAAAACAAGCAATGGGGAAAGGAATCCCTATTTTAACAAATGGTGCTCAGAGAACTAGCTAGCCATATGCAGAAAATTGAAACTGGACCTTCCCTTATACCTTATGCAAAAATTAACTCAAGATGGAGTAAAGACTTAAATATAAAACCCAGAACTATAAAAACCCTAGAAGAAAATCTAGGCCATACCACTCAGGACATAGGCATGGGCAAAGATTGTGTGATGAAATCGCCAAAAGGAATTGCAACAAAAGCAAAAATTGACAAAGGGATCTAATTAAACTAAAGACCTTCTGCATAGCAAAATAAACTGTCATCAGAGTGAACAGACAACCTACAGAATGGAAGAAAATATTTGCAATCTATCCATCTGACAAAGGTCTAACATCCAGAATCTACAAGGAACTTAAGCAAATTTACAAGAAAAAAAGAACCCCATTAAAAAGTGGGCAAAGGACATAAACAGACATTTCTCAAAAGAAGACATACACATGGCCAACAAATGTGAAAAAAAGCTCAACATCACTAAATATTAGAAAAATGCAAATCAAAACCATAATGAGATACCATCTCATGCCAGTCAGAATGGTGATTATTAAAAAGTCAAGAAACAACAGATGCTGGCGAGGTTGCAGAGAAACAATTTTACACTATTGGTAGGAATGTAAATTAGTTCAACCATTCTGGGAGACAGTGTGGTGATTCCTCAAAGATTTAGAACTGAAAATATCATTTGACCCAGCAATCCCATTACTAGGTATATACCCAAAGGAATATAAATCATTCTGTTATAAAGGTACATGCACATTTATGTTCACTGCAGCACTATTCACAATAGCAAAGATATTGAATCAACCCAAATGCCCATCAGTGATAGACTGGGTAAAGAAAATGTGGTACATATACACCATAGACTACTATGCAGCCATAAAAAGGAATGAGATCACATCCTTTGCAGGAACATGGATGAAGCCAGAAGCCATTATCCTCAGCAGACTAATGCAGGAACAGAAAACCAAACACCACATGTTCTCACTTATAAGTGAGAACTGAACAATGAGAACACATGGACACAGAGAGGGGAACAACACACATGGGGGCCTTTCAGAGGAGAGCGGAGGTTGGGGGAGAGCATTAGGAAAAATAGCTATTGCATGCTGGACTTAATACCTAGGTGACAGGTTGATAGGTGCAGCAAACCACCATGTTACACATTTGCCTATATAACAAACCTGTGCATCCTGAACGTGTACCGTGGAACTTTAAAAGATTTAAAAATTTTTTAAGAAAAACAAAAACAAAGAAATAGCATTTAAAAAAATAAAATAAGGGGAAGAAGAGATTTAGGAAGACTCAAAAAGATTAAGAATGCTATAGTAAGTATAAAATACTATATATAAACTTATGGTATAATTATGTAAAATATAATCACTTTACTGTGAAAGAACCCCCAAAAAGTTGTTTACATGGTTGGTTTCCACATTGAGGAAGTTACCAAACTAGACTGCAAGAGTCTGCAAGGGTAGTTTTCCACCTAGTTCCCAAATCCTCAGCAGAAAGAACCTTACCTGCTTAGTGATCACTAGATCTTTTTTATTTGAATCAGGAAGGTCAACTATAAAAGTTAGTTTTATATAAATGTATGACAAATGGAAGCAGTAACACTGTGTTTCCATAACTTTTGCCTAATTCTATCTTAAATTTCCTTGGGGAAATACAACTGATGGTTGCCATACCTGAATGTCACTGGCATTGAAGGGTCAAGGCAAGGGAGGTAGGGTGGGAGGAGCACAAATTCAGAGGCACAGCTTGGAAGGAGAGATCCCATTCACCATCAGCCTTTGAAAAGGAAAGAAATGTCATTGAGAATAGCCACAAACATTTTAGAGGCTTCCAGAAGATGTATGGTAGCATGATTTGACAAGGAATTAAGTTATTCATATGACAGTTTGGCCAAAATTATGAGATTATCAAAAGCAAATATTTTTATATTGGTACATTTGGTGCCCATGCGGTGATTTTACAGCTTTTCAGTAATCCTGTGCAGTTTTGATAATTGCCCAGTATGTTTTTCCTATTTCCTATTACGTATTTCTAAGATTTGTCCTCTAGATTTCAAATTTCCAGTTAATTTCTAGGGAATTAAATGTTAGTAGCTTCTAAGAGTAGGAAATAATTTAAGTGTTCAAAAATTAGGAATTTATTGATTAAAATAAAATATGGTATGTCTGTACAGTTGCATAGGCTACAGCCATAAAACTTTAGTATCACTTGATGTGGATAGATGTTAATATCATGTTAAATGGGAAAGCAGGTAATGAAACAATGTCTTTCAAACTATGAAATACGATGACATTCCTAGTTTTTTGAGAATTTTAATGTAAGTTAGTTTCATAATGCATCCGCATAATCAAATCAATTTTCTTTGCTTTAATAACATGGACCAAGTCTTTTTTTTTTTTTTTTGAGACAGGGTCTCACTCTGTTGCCCAAGCTGGAGTGCAGTGGTAAAATCACAGCTCACTGTATTCTTCTCAACTTCTTGGGCTCAGGTGATCCTCCTACTTAAGCCTCTTGAATAGCTGGGACTACAGCTAATTTTTTTGTATTTTTTGTGGAAATGGGGTTTCACCATGTTGCCTAGGCTGGTCTTGAACTCCTAGCCTCAAACAATCTGCCCTCCTAGGCCTCCCTAAGTATTGGGATTACAGGCATGAGCCACCACAGTTGGCCTACATGTTCCAAGTCTTACCTAAAAATTTTAATAATCTTTGCCTGTTTTGCTACCATACTTTTATAGTTTTTAGCATATGCTTTTTATATAACTGGTGACAAAATTCCTTCCATCTAGGAACCTGCACTACTGAAAAATTTTAAATCTGTATTCAGTTTTGTTTATATGAGTTTTTTTCCTTCTTCAAAGTGAATTCAAGCAAATATCTTATTAACTTTGTAGCCCTCATGATTCAACAATGTTTAGGTTGAATATATATTTTAAATGCTAGGTTAGTCAAAAGTAGCAAGTTTTTTTATTCTGTTGGAGTAAGGATTAAACAGAAGAGTATTATATCCACATTGAAAATCATTTCTGTATATTTTATTACCAGGGAGTAGGTCAGGATTTGGCAGGCACAACAATGGGTTACAGGTCAAAGGTTGTGTGCGTGGTAAGGAGAATCATCTACCTATCCCTTTTTGCTTATTTTCTCTCTTTTCTCCAAGGCTCCTCAGACTTGGCCTTCCTTCTAGCTCAAACCTGAGCCTTGAGGAAATATCTTCAGTGTGGCACTGCACACACCACTGTTGGTGGCCTCAACTGGACATGCCTTTGATCCTGGGGCATTTAGTCTGCTTAATATTCCCAGTGGTTGAGAGAGTTTCCCAAGCAGGTGAAGAAAGGCAGCCCACAGGCTTCTGAGTGGGCGTGCCATCTTTACTGCCCCAGGCTCCTGTTGGTGATGATACTTAGTGTGGAGTTGGCTTGCACTCCTAGTCACTTAGAGCTACTCACACCCCTGCTCCTGCCCTTTCTCTACCACCAGCTCACAAAGGAGGGAGTGAATAGAAACCCAGCTCTCCTATTGCTTCCAAACTGCTGGCTGCTATTGTAGGAGGATAAGCTAAAACTGTAATGAGTTCATTTTTGATGCTTTGTCTTTTGCTTCTGAAATCTAAATGAGAGAGAGAGGCAGGGGATAATTCTTGCTAATATAAGATTCTAATCAATTAAAATTCTGTGGATTTTTCGCAGAGTCAGCTTAAATAATATTTCTTTGGCTTTCCACAAATATATTTATAATTTTTTAATTGCCTTTTTTTTATTCTTGAAGAACAATGTGTATTCTGGAGGTAGCATGGCAAGAAGGAATACATACGTCTGTGAAAGGACCACAGATCGATACACAGCATTGCAGAATGGAAAAGACAGCAGGTAAATGCCACAGTGCCAAGTGGTAATACCTTTACTATTGTTCTGTGTTAGTGCCCTTGCTGAAATGCCTGCAGCTGAATGGGTCAGGAGAAAAGGAGTTATTACATGAAATAGTAATGATTGCAACCCAACCATTCTTACTGAGACATCTCTCCTGTACCAGGATAGAAAGTTAGGAAAACATTTAGAGAAAACAAGAAATAAATCTTTTTACCTGCCAATTTCTGAGTAAAATCTGATAGTAAATATTTTTCTGTAACAAAGCAGATCATACCATCCTAATTTCATCTTCATAATTTGAATCTTTTTCTTTTGTGCACCTGCTGCCTCCTTCCCTTTCACCTCCCATCACGTCATTACCATATCTGAATAAAGGCTTTATTTTCCTCCCTCTGAAAAAAATGTGGCCATCTTATTTCTCATCATTCAGAACCACATAATTTTTAAAGTGTTTTATTTCAAATAATAATAAATCGCATTATTTGTATTACTTAAAAAATGTATCTTCTTTCTATCATGAGTTACAAGGACTACTCATCAATATAGTACAAAGACATGGAGCCTATTCTAATGAAATTATTTTCTTAGTACCACCTACAGTCATTTCAGTAGTGTGTACAAACCGTTCTTACATTTGTTTCTTCTCACTTAATAAGAATGTAAAGTAAGTGCTATTGTAAGGCATACAAAGAAAAATGTATCTTCTTTGTACATAAGATAATTGGGAATTGATTTCAGACTTACGATTTTTCTTATACTAAATTTTAAGCTGCAGCTCCTTTAATCTGCAACAGTTAACCTATTGACCATGATATGATCTAAAAGTGTTTTGATGAATCCAGAGATAATATTTTTGGTATAATTATCAATTCTGATTGTATGAATAATGGACAATGAACTACAGCAACATATCACACCAAACTGTGGTTTTGGGGAAGTAAAAAATGACTCCAGTCATAATAATTTTATCTGAAATTATTGTATATCCACAAAAATAATTTTGTACTTTCTCCCATTTACATACATAAAGTGTGTGTGAGATTTTTTTTCATGGATAATAGTGATAAATTCACCCTGTATACTTTTCATAAGAATATTGTTTTGTTAGTCATTAATAATGCCGCTATGCTAGTTTCTTTCAAATGTTTCAGTCATGAAAGGTGTTAGTTTAAAATATAAAAAACTATAAAAATATAGTTCTTAAATTTTAGTAAACCACAATTTTTCTTCTTTTTTACATTTCCATGGTCTTCTCAACTGCTTTATGGCGAAAGCCTTACGGAGATGTCTGTGAGTAGCATATCTTCTGCAGGCTCTTCTGTGGCCTCTGCTGTCCCCTCAGCACGACCCCGCCACCAGAAGTCCATGTCCACTTCTGGTCATCCTATTAAAGTCACACTGCCAACCATTAAAGACGGCTCTGAAGCTTACCGGCCTGGGTAATGTGCTGGTTACATCTCATTTTGTTCATTAAGAATTTCTGAAAATATAGCACCATGTGAAAATACATGATAGTCACCATCACATTAAGACCTTTCTAATAAGATTCAGTGTTTGTAATGGGGGAAAAATTGAATTGTAACATAAACTTTCTATGTACTTTGGCTGTTGTTGGAAATGTTACGTATAACTTAAATCATTTTCTAGAGGAATTTTTTTAAGGATTTGATTTTACGTCCATCCCCATAAAGTTAAGAATTGCTGCTTAATTTGTCATTTAGGTAAACAGATTTTGTTATGATTTAAACACATACAAACAAACACTAGACTGGGAGTTGAGACCCACGGATAATGATCAGGCTGAATTCCTTGTTCTTAATGAAACTGGACTTCAGTTTTCCTGTCAATGAAATTGATGAACTCAAAGAGCCTGTTCAGATATAAAATTTTGTAATTGTTTTTCTAGTATTTTTCTATTTTAAGATTTCTCAAATTCAGTACATCTGAGCATTTTAACCCTCTGTTAGATTTGTTGGGCATATTGGTAGTACCATGTGATGTTGTACCATCACTGAGGCCTAAATTAGAAATAGGAAATTATTTTATTCAAAGCCTTTTTAATAAACAATAAAATTTGTGTTCAACATTGATTGCTAAGTGGTTTCAGGAGAATATTAAAAAAAATATTTGCAGTACCCCTGGTTTGGCGTTTGTGATACTGAAAAGTATTTATCTTTGTGTCCCTGTTTCAGTCATTTCTTAATTTTTAGTGACCAAACAAAAGGTACCAAGTTTCAAACTGAAATTTTACTCCTCTCCAATGATATAGTAAATAAAATTAACCCATGTCTCACATCTCTAATGTGAACAAATAAAGTAGGGCCAAAAGAAGTAGCCATAGCTATTTGTTTCAAGTTTTTAGCATGAGTGAAAGGTTTTCCTGTCATTATTCTAAATGATATATCTTAATTTGTCCCAGCAGTACAACCCAGAGAGTGCCTGCTGCTTCCCCATCTGCTCACAGTATTAGTACTGCGACTCCAGATCGGACCCGCTTTCCCCGAGGGAGCTCAAGCCGAAGCACTTTCCATGGTGAACAGCTCCGGGAGCGACGCAGCGCTGCTTACAATGGGCCACCTGCTTCACCATCCCATGAAACGGGTGCATTTGCACATGCCAGAAGGGGAACGTCAACTGGTATAATAAGCAAAATCACATCCAAATTTGTTCGCAGGTCAGTACCAATGTACTGTCGTGTTTTGTTTCCTCTAGAGATTATGAAGGAAACTTGACCTTTTTTTAATATTTATAGTAATTTTCTAAAATGGTTTCATAACATTTCATTAGAGCTGCTCTTTTACAGAGTTGGAAGAAAAAAATCTAGGAAGACATAAAGTATTTTTCCTTAAGAGAGAGAAAGAAAAAAATGGACAAAATGAGATTTTTAAAGTCTGTAAAATAAAATGGAAAGAACAAAAACTTGACTTCAAAAATGTGTTTTAACAAAAGATTTTTATATTTGAAAGCCGTGATTGAGGAAAAGAAATGAGTTTACATGTTTCCTTCAAATTTATCTTGACAATACTTTTAAATTGCTTACTAATAATATATCATTTACGTTTTTTTCTACTTTGCATAAAAAGCCTACACACCAGAGTCACAGATCACTTATGTAATTTTATATCATAAAACCTTATCATCACAACATAGTAAACGCAAAATGAATTCATGTATAGTAAAGGTCTAATCTACTTAAACAATACAATTTTACTTTCTAAAAAGTAAGCATACTTACTGTGTTTACTATGCATACATGTACAGTGCACATTGATGATACAAGTTGCTACTACAATGCAGGCTGATGTCGATTTGATCTATTCCTGTGTCCCACTAAATGCCTACTTAAGCCCTGCGACAAGCAAAGCACTGTGTTAGGTGCAGAACAGAATCTAAAGATAGGTAAGACGGCATCTGTACCCTCCAGATTCTTATAGTCTTGTAAGAAGCAGACAAACAACTAGCTGTGATATAAAGCAGAACATGTGCTAAAAAGTGTGGGCAACATGCTGGATTCCAGAGGAAGATAGAATTGTTTCTATCTAGGGAGACAGTGAAGGCACCCTATCATATAATCATTTCAGCTGAGCCTTCAATGATGGGTAAGAAATAATTATACTTGCTTTAAGAAATACTAATTAAATACTTAGTTTCCAATGTTATTACTGTTCCTAGGATTTCAAAGAGTGGATGTGGAAAAGAGAAGAAGCAGCTTCAGTCTTACGTGCCTTGTCATGGAGCTATTTATAGACTTGGTTCATATATCAGTTTGCCCAGTATCACATAGCTGAATTAAAAACTTTTAAAGCCTCAAATGTAACATAAATTTCTAACCATATCAGTCAGTGACTTTGTACCATTTGGGCAATTACTATGCAGCATGACAACTTGCTACAGAAAGAACTAAAAGTTCACCAACAGAGTCAGCATGGAAGGTAGATCACGGTGTTAGCCGGCCATCTGCAGGGTACTAGTCAGAATATCAGTAGTTTCTGCTTTTGGAATTTGTCTATTTAAGGCCATTTCAAAAAGCCAGTAGTTTCTCACGGTTAAGCCAGAATTAAAGTGAAGAAAAATAGGTTTGTAGTTTAGTGTTTGATTACTAATTGTGCATTAAGCATTGTGCAAAATATTTCTCTTAACTCTGCAACAAAAATTTAGACTCTAGGGGAAACAGTACTGTGGAAAGGAAGTCATGAGATAGAATGTCAAAGCAAGAAAGTGCCTTAGAGCTGGTCTGTTGGGAGGTTCTGATAAAGGACTGCCATATAGTCATTGAACACATATGTGGAGACCTACATGCAAGGCCTTTCATAGGAGCTATTGTACAGCAGCAAGTGAGACTGATGGGGCTCCTGCCATCCTGTGAGCAACTTAACTGTCTTGAAACATTCCACACAGTTAAAGCATTTCCCTTGCTTGGCTCTGGTTTTCTCCTACCTCACAGGCTAGCTATCGCTTCTCAGACTTCTTTGCTGGCTTTTTTCAGATTCCCTTGCCTTTCCCCCAACCTCTAAATATTAGAATGCCCCAGGGCTCAGTCTTTGGACATGTTTTTTTCTTTGGTTTTCCTTACACTCTTGGTGATCTCAGTCAGGCTTATGACATTAGATTCCATCCTGTGTGAACAACTCCCCAGTGTATCTCCAGCCCACATCTCTCTCCTGAACTGCAGACTCTTACATCCAACTGCTGCTCAGCCTCTCCACTTAGATACATTATAGACTCTGAAACAGAACATGTTCAAAACCCTACTCTCGTTCCTCTTCCCATGCTTATCCTTCCCTCGTTCTTCACTGTCTTAGGAATTGGCAGCCTTGTCCTTACAGTTGCTCGGACCATAAGCCTTGGAGTTGTCCTTGACAATTCTTTTCTTCATACCACATCAGATCCATTGGCAATTTGTGTGGGCTTTACCTTCACGGCATTTCCAGGATTTAGCTGCTTCCATCACTCCCGCCACTGCCTTCATACTCTGAACCACTCTTCATCTTTCACCACCTCATAGTTCTGCTAGTTTCTGTCGTTGTCCTCCTCTTCTGTTTCAGCAGTGTCATGTCAATCTGATCATGTCATTCTTAGATTTAAAGCCCCTGATTAGCTTTCGCTTTGCTTAGAATACAATTCTGTGCCCTCGCCATAGCCTGTGGGGCTTTGTGTAACCTGGCCATCCATTTCTGCTCTGACCTCTTCTTCTCCCACTCTTCTTCTTGCCACTTCCACACCAGCCACCCAGGCACCAGACTGTCCTCAAGTACATTAAGCACTGTTTTGGCATTGTGTACCTGCTATTCCTTCTGCCTGCAATTCTCTGCCCTAAATACCTGCATGGCTCACTTCTACACCAAACCTTATGAGTTTCTAACCATAGCTCATTCTTATATAGGGAATAACCCGATTTGTTCAGTTGAGTATATATTGCTATGTGTAGGTCATTGTTTTTTAAGTGTTAAGTGTTGGAGAGCATGCTGTGCTGCATATGCTGTTAGAGCAGGCTGCACCTTCTGTAGCCCCATCTGCCTCCTACCATGGCTACTTAAAGCAGACTTCCTGGGCTCTTTGAAACAATTGCCAAGAGCAGAAATTCTTCCAATGTTCCTACTGGCAGCCAGGTAGGCAGGAACAGGATATGGGTCAATCGCGATTTCAGTCAATTATAGCAGAGGAAATAGGGTCTAAGGGACATTTCACTCCTAATGCTTTAAGTTTAGCAGCTGTGGAATAGGTGTTTGCTAATAGTGAATAATAAAGCATAATATAAATAGGACAGAAAAGTCCAGTGAGATTTTTGTCCCTTCCTAAAGGAATTTTGTCTTAGCAGTGGGAGTCGACAGCATTACTGTCTTGCTTGCCAAGTTGGTACACTGCCCATCTGTGTGTATCAGTTCATCTACATGTAACTGAAAATGTACATTTCACTTTGAGCCTGCTCAAAAATGTTTTATTTATTTCAATGTGCTATAATAAAAATGGATTTGTATAGATGGCATTGAATTTTTATTATTCTTCCCAATGAAAATGCCAGTTATTAAAAATAGAAATTTAAGAAATTACATTTGAATGTGAGAATACATTTTAGTATTCTTTTAAATTCAGATAGAAAAAAATTTTTTTCATAATATGTTTGTTAAGAAAGGCATGTATTAGTTAAAGACCCTGAGAGGCATGAGGCATTCATATTCTTAAGAACAATTTAAAATTTTAGAGCTTGGTGTGTGGGTATGTTTTATTAATTTGGGGGATGGGAGAGTACCACTGATTTTATTCTTATTGCATTAATTTTACGTAATTAATAGAAATGTTTCTGGAATGGCTAAAACATGAAGACAACATTAACTTAAGGATTCAAGTTGGTGATTTTTCCCACTATTTAATAGTATTTTACCCTCTATCACAAGATATTTAATTACCTTTAAAAATAGCAAAGCATTAAAATTTTGGTAGACTTCAAAAATATTAATTACATGCAACTCAGAACAATTAGTAGTGTTTTCCTGGTTTTATTTCACAGGTGGATATCCAGGTAAGGTTAGTGTTTTTATTTAAGATTGAATCCATGTTTTTAGACTTGCCTACATGGATAGGCTGTTAATTTGCTGTAATATTTTATCATGTGCATGAATTGTTAGCATAACTTCTAAGAGAAATTGCTTATTTAGAAATTGGTATTTATTTGCTAACTACAAAGTTAATGTATATATTTTCTAAATTGAGCGACTACTAAAATTATACATAATCACAAATTTGGAGTTGAATCTTGCTGTTGATAATTATTAAGTAGTTTTAACTTTAGATTAAACTAAACCAAAAGATAAATTATGACTTCAAATGAATTGTGGCTGGGAATTGGAAGATTATGAAAAAAAATTCTAAACTTTCACCTTATATTGCCTGTTGACAAAAATGAGTAGACGCTCAATAAATGATAAATTACATGCAGTTATGATGAAAAACATGAGAAATAGTCTCAGACTGACTAGTGATAGAAAACTGTCACGGTAGAAGTTTGCTCAACAAGCTAATTTAAAATAATTTTAGATATAGGTTTTCTTGATATATTTTTTACTTTTATCATTAAATCTCAACCTTCACTTTGTTTTGAGGGATCCAAGTGAAGGCGAAGCCAGTGGCAGAACCGACACCTCAAGGTGAGGAGCCACTATTAATACTTCGCTGCTAGGTCCCTGTGTGTGAAAACGTACTTTTGAAATACTTCGAGCACTTAATGGTCATGAATAGATCTAATAACTAGATAGCATGCATATTTTAGATTTTTATATTGGGGTGGGTTTTCATAACATTACCTAGCATTCAAGTCAGTCAACTTTAAGTTTGTTTTCCAAACATGCATTGGAATTGTGTACTTGGTAAAAAAATAGGCTTTCTGTTCTATAAAGTATGTCAAGCTGAAGAATTAATAGATTAAATGTCCTGATATTTTTCTCACTAAAGTAATGTAACTAAAATTAGTGTGAGTCAAATAGCACAAATAACACAGAACAGGGAAGGAAGATTTGATGTTAGTAATATATTTTAGGTGAGAATTCAATGTTTGACCACGTTTAAAAATTCTATCCTGCCATAGTTTTGGGGATTTCTTTTTTTGACATTTAATGCTAGTTGTATATTCATTCTGGCAATGGGTTTCATATCTGAGCACAATCAGAATTACAGGGAAGACTTGATAAAAAGATTACTGGATCCCACACCCAGGGTTTCTGATTCAGGGGCTGAGGCAGGTGCCTGTGCATTTACATTTCTAACAAGTCCCCAGGAGATGCTTATGCTGCTGTTCTAGGGACCACATTATGGACATGTTAGTACTTGTGTTAATATTTTACAAATGGGAAATTTAAGAAATGAAGGCATTAATTTATTTTGAGTGTACACAAGCCTTAAGGGTTGCAACGTAAATTTTACAACCAACAAGTATTCCACAGTACGAAAGACTCTGGCTTCATTCAGAAACGATTGTGACCAGCTGAACACAAGCCTCCAGTTTGATTTCTACTTTTCAAATTACTTAAAATATAAAACATAATTAACTTTGGGAAAACTATAGCATTCCCATGTAGTCTTTTTAACAAACTGTGCTATATTTATATTTAGTAATAATAGTTGAAATGTTTCTTTGTAGAGTTAGGTACGTGAGTCACCATGGTACGGAGCCACAGGGGAGCAAGACGAATATTCTTCACTTTCTTCTGCCTTTTACATAAACATGGAGGACTTGTTCTTAGCCTCTCCCTCACTTAGTCTTCACTTTTGAGCCCCTCCTTGCATTTCATCCTATATTTCCACTAAATTTCCCTCTGAGACATTTAGTAGTGTGTGCGTTGCAAGTGGCCATTAATAGTTACATTTTTATCCTTTTTTACAACTACATAATTTTATTGCATGATAAGAATTAGTAACTGATCTTTTATAAATGTTTACACAATACTTTTCACATTCCGTTTTGTTTGGTTGTTGTTGGGTTTGGTTCTATTTTTGCTTTTGAACTAACTTATTGAATACTAACTATAAAGTACTTTCTGGTCATTTAATTTTCACAACTAGGTGAAAATGCCTATTTTACAGATGGAAAAAAAACAGCAAGGAACATAGGTGGGATCAAGCCAGTTATAGTGAGGTTCTGTCATTTCAGGAAGATGGGGTGATACTGTGGTTAGAAGTACAGGTTCTCAGCCAGAGTGCATGGGTTTCAGCTGTGTTCTACCACTTACTTTACTGTGTGGCTTTGGGGAAGTTACTTCAACTCTGTGTGCCTCCATGTCCTCACTCTACCTGCCTCCTAGGATTGTTCTGAGGGGTAAATGAGTAATTAATACATTTTAGGCACTTAGGGCAATTCCTGCACCTAGGATTGTTCTGAGGGGTAAATGAGTAATTAATACATTTTAGGCACTTAGGGCAGTTCCTGCACCTAGTAAATACTCAATAAATGTTAGTTGTTATTATATTAATATGCACATTTCCAGGAGCTTTCTAGAATTGACATTATCAGTGGCAATGTCTGTGAGACCGTGCAAAAAAAATTTTATTGTCTTAAAGTCATCTTAAGGTGGAATAGAAGAAAACTAGACTTAGAATAATACCCCTGAATTCTAGTCTTTACTTTTCAACTCATTAGCTCTATAAGTTCAGAAAACTAATTTTTTTTTTTTTTTTTTTTTTTTCTGAGACAAAGTTTTGCTCTGTTGCCTAGGCTGGAGTGCAGTCACACGATCTCAGCTCACTGCAACCTCTGCCTCCCGGGTTCAAGCAATTCTCCTGCCTCAGCCTCCCGAGTAGCTGGGATTACAGGCGCGTGCCACCACACCTGGCTAATTTTTATATTTTTAGTAGAGACAAGGTTTCACCATGTTGGCCAGGCTGGTCTCAGACTCCTGACCTCATGGTCCTCCCACCTTGGCCTCCCAAAGTGCTGGGATTACAGGTGTGAACCACAGAAAAGTAATTCTACGTTTTCCAGCCATCAGTTCCGTCTTTAAAATGAGTGCTCAGTCAACTGATCTCTCAAGTCCCTTCCAGCATGCCAAATCCACCAGAATTATACATGTGACCTTGGTAAATGACTCTGGTTGGCTTGCAAGCCCTAAGAGGCCTGTGATGTAATGGCTTAGATTCAGTGGGCAAAAAGAGAAAAATAGAGAACATGAAGTACATACTTCCCATACTTATTAATAGTCTTTGGAAATTTATTTTCTCTACCTATTCCTTTCCTTATTTTCTCAAGACTGCATAGTTTGCAGAGCTTTGGGGGCTCAGATACCTAGGCTCAGACACCTAGAAATGAAATAAATAATATATATATAAAATTATACATGAATATATATTATACTGTTGATATAAAATGTATATATATTAATTTAAAATATTTATGCAGTAGATTATAAACTCCTTTCAAGGTACTTTTTTTTTTTCTTAAATCACAGAAGTGAGATAGGTTAACAAGTTGCAGTGTAACATCTCTATTTGGATAATTGTTCAAGAAATTTAATTACAGGATTTTCTGTATCACGAATGATCTATTAACTTTGATGAAGCTATGCAGGTTTCTTCCTATGACTATTTGAAATAGGTTTTTTTGTTTCCATATTACTTGTGGGATGCCTGCAATAAGTAAAATTCAGTGAGATTTAGTCATTTAACAAATATGTTAATGATTACTATTTACCCAGCACAGTTCTAGATGCCTGAGATAGATCAGTGAATGAAATAGACAAAATTCCTTGCCCTCCTGGAGTTTACAATCTAATGATAGACTCAGGCAGTAAACACCCTAACAAATGGATTAAATAATATGTTAGAATGTGTAAGTGCTATAGAGAAAAATTAAAGCAGGCTAAGGGGGGTTGGCCATGCTACGATAGGAGTTAGGGTACAGTAGGGCGGTAAGGGGAAGCCTCATGAAGAAAGTGAGCAGAGATTTGAAAAAAGTAAAGGAGTTAGCGTCACAGCCATCTGGGGAGAAGCATTCATGACAGAGGGAACAGTCTGTGCAACAGCCTTATAGCAAGAACATAACCCGTGTGTTCCAGGAATAGCATGGAGGCCATTGTGTTCTGATAGGAGCGAGGAAGGAGAAAAATTCTAGGAAATGGGGTGGGGAGAGTAGAAGTTGGAGTGCAAGTCATGGGGAATGTTGTAGACTGTTTCAAGGATGTCTTTAGTGAAATGAGAAATCACTGGAGGACACTGAGACATGTGGTATAATCTAACGTCTTTACATAATTGCAGTACAACATTCTTTCTCAACCTTATCAGGTAAACGAATTATCTTTCCCTCTGAAGTTATTATATTCCTCCTATCCAAAAAGGCAGAAATATTTTTTTATATTTCAAAAATGTGTATTTCCAAATAGAATATTAGTGGTCCCTATTTTGTGTGTGCTTGAACAGAGAAATATGGAACTGAAGAAGGTATTAAGTTCTTCACTTTCAGTTGCAGACGTGTTTCCCTCAAGCCACTTATATTTAAGAAAAATGCTATTTTAGATTGACAATATTAAAAGTCAAAACAGATGGCATCTTGGGGTGTGTTTCTGTAACAGCAAGATAACGTAAATCTTGGCGTCCATCTGAGGGTAGTCTGCAAATTAGGTAGTTTTGTTAGGCACTGAATTATGACTACTTAGATTTTATGTGCGTTTTGATCTCTTTGCTGAGTGAAATATTTGTTTTCATTCTTTCCCGTTGCCCTCTTCTTCCAGAAGTACATCAGGGGAACCAAAAGAAAGAGACAAGGAAGAGGGTAAAGATTCTAAGCCGCGTTCTTTGCGGTTCACATGGAGTATGAAGACCACTAGTTCAATGGACCCTAATGACATGATGAGAGAAATCCGAAAAGTGTTAGATGCGAATAACTGTGATTATGAGCAAAAAGAGAGATTTTTGCTTTTCTGTGTCCATGGAGATGCTAGACAGGATAGCCTCGTGCAGTGGGAGATGGAAGTCTGCAAGTTGCCACGACTGTCACTTAATGGGGTCCGCTTCAAGCGAATATCCGGGACATCTATTGCCTTTAAGAACATTGCATCAAAAATAGCAAATGAGCTTAAGCTGTAAAGAAGTCCAAATTTACAGGTTCAGGGAAGATACATACATATATGAGGTACAGTTTTTGAATGTACTGGTAATGCCTAATGTGGTCTGCCTGTGAATCTCCCCATGTAGAATTTGCCCTTAATGCAATAAGGTTATACATAGTTATGAACTGTAAAATTAAAGTCAGTATGAACTATAATAAATATCTGTAGCTTAAAAAGTAGGTTCACATGTACAGGTAAGTATATTGTGTATTTCTGTTCATTTTCTGTTCATAGAGTTGTATAATAAAACACAATTGCTTAAAACCTTGTATAGTTGTCTAGATTTCTGCACATGAATGTACGTTTGATGCTTTGATTTGAAAATGTTCTTCCCTGTTACTTACATTCTGGTGGGTTTTTTAAATTCTTACCTCCATCATGCAATTTTGAAAATTGTGTCCAGAATTAAAAGTGCATAGAAATAGTCTTTACAAAGTTGTAGCATGGACCTTTAAAAATTGTTTTAAAATCATATTTAAATTTAAACCAGAAGCTGAAAAATAGATCAGCTTTATTATACACAAAATTATTACTGCTTATCTTTGCTCTTTTCCTTGTTATCCCACAAGGTTTAGTTGAGAAGATACAAAATGTTTACAGTGTTGGCACTTAAGAGTTTTTAAATTCAAGTACATGAAATTCAATAATAGCATTGCCTTGAGCTAACTAAGAAGTACTGGGGAAAAAGTTAAATCTACATCAAGTTTCTTTTGAACTTTGAAGTGTTTTCTGACCCACTGCTAATTGTAGCAACAAAATTTAAAAGAAAAAAAACATACTTTATCTGGCTATTATAACATAAATTGTCACGTAGGTTTGCTGCCTTCAGCATACCGCAATATAATTGCGGGAATATAATAATATTGGGACTGTTTCATAGCACAAACTCATCTTTACAGTGTTGATCAATGCATCAGTTAAGAAATAATGCCACCTCAGGAATTAACTGGCATTGGAAACATTTGCCTCATTCTCCTCCTATCCTCTTCATTCACCCCTGCCACTGTAATATCTATAAGTACTTAAGAGACTTGTGAGCAAAACATACTATTTATAACAGTATATTATTGATTTATGCTTATGTGGTTGTTGAGTTTGTTCCCATGTAACTCGTTTGTTTTAAATATTTTGCCAGATTTCTTGTATTTATTCCACATCATTATGCCTATAATGTGCCGCTTTGTGATTGGGCATTTGCCTACTTTTCTTTCATAATTAGTGATATATGCGATGTAAAAACCACTAGTAAAGGTACATTTTAATACTTGTTATTTTATACTGAATTAGCCTTGGAGGTTGACTGTGCAATGTTATTTACTGTTGTAATTACTGTAATATCAACATATGGGCCCCATCTGCACACTCCTGAAAAATAGAAAGTGTATTCAAATTTTATCAGTTTAAAGAAAATAAAGCTGTGATAAATACTGTAATTCCAACCTACATTAGAAGGTCTAAGTGTAGGTGATGTGCCATTCCATAATGGCTTCCAGACTAGGGTGAATTTTACATTCTGTACTGTACTGTGATGTAGCTTTCTTCTGTAACAGTTATGTTCTAAAATTAAGTGAGGTTTTTTTTTGTTTGTTTGTTTTTTGCCTTAGCAAAGGGTGGTGTTTGAAAAAAAAAATGTGTAGCCCCTTTTTAACCTAGTGTTCATTCAAAAAAAATTGATGCAAATCTTTATTCACTTTCACTGGTGCACACTGAAATTTTACTTGAACAGTTCTCATAATAAAGCACTTGTCTTTTGCTCTTTATCAGAATGTGAATTACCTGTTTTCTAGTACAAAAGTATTCTGTATGAGGAGTTTATTGTATGTGTTCTAAATTTAGTTGGCAAAAGGTGAAGCTGTGAAGGTTTTCAAGATTATTGAAGCTATGAAGGTTTCTTGTCATTATGACAAGAATATTTAATCTTTTTATAGGAATTCCTGTCACTGAAATACTTTTTTAAAAAAATAGACCTCCTGCTGTGTTTTCCACGGTAGAAACTGATGTTTTTTTACATTTTCTCACTGTGGCCAACTCTTCTGTGTTTGTAGAAAGGAATTTGACTTCAATATCTTTTATGAACTAAAAATGAAATCTTGATACTCACTTTAGATTTTTCGTTTTATGTGTTCATGACAACAAATATTTTTCAAAGGTTTAGAGGAATTTTGCAATATGTTTGCATAAATAAATACCAGTTTATGTTCACTGGCTATGTGATACCAGGATTTCCTTGGCTTCTGTTGAAATATTATTTGATATGACATCCCTTATATTAAATTAATTATTTTGTGGAAACTGGGGCACAGCATTTTATTTGTTAAATGAAAAGAATAAGATTAAATATACTCCAGAACCTTGATTCAATATATTCTCTAAGATAGAATTTGATTTAAAACCTAAAAGACCTTATTTTGAGGTGATTTTCACCAACAGTGTCATTTCACACCATGGGGCCGGGGAGCGGGGAAGCATACAGTGAGCAGCAGGGCCAATTTACTGTAAACTAGTGATTCCATTAGCCTGTGCAAATTAATCAAGATGACCTCTGCCTTCATTTTCAAAATATCTATTGAAATACCTACTTTGTCTTAAGATACATAAAAAAAAATTATAAAAGATAGTTCCAACTCTCTGAAATTTTGTTCCATTCAAAAAGATAAATGTAAATATATGCACAACTAAAACATACACACACACAGACACACAGAGGAAACGGAAAGCGCTCAAACAAGCGCAGATAATAGATGCTATAGAAATTCAGAGAAGAGTGAATTCTGTATGGACATTGGAAAGACAGGTCTTTTAAAGGATTTAAAGAGTGGGTAAAATTTAAGAGACAATAGAAAAGATCCTACAGATGGAAAAAAGGCTTCAAGTTAGTAATAGCGCTAAGACATGTTAAAAATAAACCACATATTCTAGGAAGTGGCAGGGTTCACATAGCTTGATTAATAGCTGATTACGTAAAGCATCAATTGGCAGTCTCAGCTTGGACTTGATCTATGGATAAAGGGGAGAAATTAGGAGGTTTTTTTACGCCAAGGAAGTACCTAATAAATTGGTTGCCAGCACTTTGGGAGGCCGAGACGGGTGGATCACGAGGTCAGGAGATCGAGACCATCCTGGCTGACACGGTGAAACCCCGTCTCTAAAACTAGCCGGGCTCGGTGGCGGGCGCCTGTGGTCCCAGCTGCTCGGGAGGCTGAGACAGGAGAATGGCGTGAACCCGGGAGGCGGAGCTTGCAGTGAGCTGAGATCCGGCCACTGCACTCCCAGCCTGGGCGACAGAGCGAGACTCCGTCTCCAAAAAAAAAAAAAAAGAATGGCTCATTAATTCAACAAGTTTGTTGAGTGCCAGTGTACATTAGTGTCTAGGTTCTAGGAAATAGCAGTAAAAAAAAATGTATCAGAAATGTATGAACTGGATTAAAAATTAGAGGCAGGAAGATCTTTTCAGAGGTTAAAACAGTAAAGCATGAATGAAATAGCATAGATGTGGGATGGTTAACACAGGGTGGAAAAAGGTAAAAGAGAGACATTTCAAAAGATGTATCAACAAGGTATATGAGAGACATTTCAAAAGATGTATCAACAAAGTATCATGGGCCGAGTACAATGGCTCATGCTTGTAGCCCCAACACTTTGGGAGCCCTAAGTGGGTGGATCGCTTGAACTCAGGTGTTCAAGAACAGCCTGGGCAACATGGTGAAACCCTGTCTGTACAAAAAATACAAAAATTAGCCCAGCATGGTGGCATGCACCTATAGTCCTAGCTACTTGGGAGGCTGAGGTGGGAGGATCGCTTGAGCCTAGGAGGCAGAGGTTGCAGTGAGCTGAGATCATGACACTGCACTCCAGCCTGGGTGACAGAGTGGTCCCTGTCCCCCCTCCCCCTCCAAAAAAAACAAGGTGTCATGAATAGGATTCACAGACTGTAAGAAAGATGATTTGGTGGGAGCAGAGCTTCCTGGCATCGGATTCAAGTTTTCAGCTTGCATTTTAAGACTTCCACTTTCACTTCATGTGGAGTAACAAGTACCAGATTTACTCTCCCACCTGAGACAATGAAGAAACAAGATGAGATATATGTAATAATTTCACAGAATGTTTTCATCAGAATAAAAATCTTTATTGGCTGTTAGTCCATGAAGAACAATGATCCTTGAGAGGAAAACAAACAAAATGACCTCTGTGATTGGCCCAGCATGTGGCACAGGGAGAGGAAAATGAAGTTGGAGCCTGGCATTCTCTCTGGTTAAGAAGTCAGAACTGAGAGGCCAGGGAGGCCAAGACAGCTAGAGTCTGCAGGGAAAAGGCAGGTGGAGGGATACCAAAGAAACAGCTCTGGAGATCTGCAGAAATCAGCACATGAATGTAAGAAAACTGTATGAGGCCAGTGAAAGAATTACCTGAAAGTATTAGAAGGAACAACTCATCGAACCTCATGCAAGGGTAATGCCTAGTCCAACCAGCCATTTGTAGAAAACAATTCATGGAGCAGTGGGCGTAGTACTCAGAAGAGTTTTGCCTCAGTAGTGGGAACTACTTAGCACTAACACTGCCTTGGTACTGCTTAACAAAAGCCATATCCAGAAGGATAAGGGTTTCTTAGTAACAACTATGTCCCAGAACAAAGCTCAAGAATACAGTAATAGAAAATGTGCCAGGCGTGGTGGTTCACACCTGTAATCCCAACACTTTGGAAGGCTGAGGTGGGTGGATCGCCTGAGCTCAGCAGTTCGAGACCAGCCTGGCCAACATGGTGAAACCCCATCTCTACTAAAAATACAAAAATAAGCCGGGTGTGGTGACACACGCCTGTTATCCCAGCTACTCAGGAGGCTGAGGCGGAGAATTGCTTGAACCTGGGAGACAGAGGTTGCAGTGAGCCGAAATTGTGCCATTGCACTCCAGCCTGGCCAACAGAGCGAGACTCTGTCTCAAAAAAAAAAGAAAAAAGAAGAAAAGAAAAGAAAAATACAAAAATTAGCTGGGTGTGGTGGCACATGCCTGTAATCCCAGCTACTGGGGAGGTTGAGGCAGGAGAATTGCTTGAACCCAGGAGGCAGAGGTTGCAGTGAGCCAAGATCGCGCCATTGCACTCTAGCCTGGGCAACAACAGCAAAACACCAAAAAAAAAAAAAGGAAGGAAGGAAGGAAGGAAGGAGGGAGGGAGGGAGGGAGGGAAGGAGGGAAGGAAGGGAAGGAAGGAAGGAAGGAGAAAATGTGCATCACTCAACAAGGTAATAGTCTTCATAACTCGCATTAATTCAAGGTTATCCTGCATGCAAATATGTGTGAAAATATAACACATAATGAGAAATATCAATTGACACTGAACCAGAAATGGCAGAGATGGTCAAATTGATAGACAAAGACATTAAAACAATTATTGTAACTGTATTTTATACGTTCAGAAAGTTAGAAAAAAGGTTAAGTAGAGACATTTCATGTAAAAAAAAAAAAAACACTATTCAAACATCTAGAAATGAAAATTAAGGTTTCTGAGGAGAACACATAATTGGAATTAGTAGATTGGGCATTGCAGAAGGAAAGATAGTGGACTTGAACACATAACAATAGAAATTCAAAATGAAACAAAAAACAGATGAAGAAAGATTAGAGAGCTGTAGGACAATGTCAAGCAATCTAGTATATGTGTAGAGTCCCGACAAAGAGGAGGAGGTAGGGGGAGAAAAAATGTTTGGAGATGTAATTTTTTGAAATTTTCAGGAAACCATAAACAGACCTAAAATGTTTCATAAACATCAATCAAGAAAACTATACTAAATTTTCATATCACAAGTTGCTTAAAACCAGCAAGGGGGGGTAAAACAGTAAAAGCCACCAAAAAAAAAAGAAAAAAACAGACATATTACATAAGGAAGAAAAAAGAACAGAAATAAGAACAACTGACTTCTTGCAGAAATGATGCAAGCCAGACAAGTATTGGGAAAAAATATAAACTATCAAATTCGAATTCTATACCCAGATAAAATTATCTTTCTAAAGCAAAGGTAAAATAAAGATGTTCAGACACATAAAAGCTGAAATAATTTATCACCGGCAGGCTTGCATTAGAGCTGAGAGGCAAGGGAAAGAAATGTTAAATAAAGTTCTTCAAGCATAAGAAAATACATACCAGATGGGAGTCTACAAAAAGGAATTAAAAAGCACCAAAAATAACAACTATGTTGAGAGTAAAAATATTAACAATGCATTGTAAGATGTATAACATGTAAAAGTAAAAGTTATGGCAACCTAGTACAAAGGCCTGAAGGTTTTTTGCAAAGCTCTTATATCACCTATGTAGTGGAGATGGAGTATGTTAAAGATGTGTACTGTAAATCTTGCAGCAACCACTAAAAGTACAAAACAGAATTATAGCTAATGAGCCAGCAAAGAAGAAAAAATGGAATTTTTAAAAATTCTCTTGGAATTACATCAAACTTAAAAGCTTCTGCGCAGCCGGGCGCGGTGGCTCAAGCCTGTAATCTCAGCACTTTGGGAGGCCAAGACGGGTGGATCACGAGGTCAGGAGTTCGAGACCATCCTAGCTAACACGGTGAAACCCCGTCTCTACTAAAAAAAAAAAAAAAAATACAAAAACTAGCCGGGCGAGGTGGCTGACGCCTGTAGTCCCAGCTACTCCAGAGGCTGAGGCAGGAGAATGGTGTGAACCCGGGAGGCGGAGCTTACAGTGAGCTGAGATATGGCCACTGCGCTCCAGCCTGGGCGACAGAGCGAGACTCCGTCTCAAAAAAAAAAAAAAAAAAACAAACAAAAAAAAAAAAAAAACAAAAGCTTCTGCACAGCAAAGGAAACAATCAAAAGAGTGAAAAGGCAGCTTACAGAATGGGAGACTATATCTGCAAACTATTCATCTGAAAAGGAGCTAATATCCAAAATATATGAATGAACTCAACTCAATAATAAGAAAACAAATAACCTGATTGAAAAATAAGGAAAAGACCTGAATAGATATTTCTCAAAGGAAGACATTCTAATGGCCAACGAAGGGAGAATGCTCAATAGCACTAGTCATCAGGGAAGTGTAAATTAAAACCACAATGAGATATCACCTCACACCTGTAAGAATAACTGTTACAAATTGCTGAATGCTAATAAATGCTGGCAGGGATGTAGAGAAAAGGGAACTTTTGTACACTGTTGGTGGGAATGTAAATTAGTATAGCCATTATGGAAAATAGTATGGAAGTTCCTCAAAAAGTTAAAAATAGAACTACCATATGATACAGCAATCCCACTACTGGGTATATATCCAAAGGA